CAAGCATACTTTTCAGTCAGGGGGGTGCAATCGAGACTGGACAGGGTCTACTCCAGTCATCATACTGCTGATTTCTTCGATGGCACATTCTGGGCGTCCGCTTGGCCTTGGCCCCGCCCAGATGAAAATGGCTGGGCGGTTTCCAATCATCGCCCGGTGTCTTTCGGACGTAGTCGGCCAGATACTCAACAGCGTCCGCCCAATCTCCACGAAAGATAGATCAAGCATCCGGACTTCGTACGGCGGGTTTCCAGGGCCTACCACGACCACATCAAGCAGCAGGCACGGGCAGGGGTTACGCTTGATCCCATGCACAGGCTGTGTGCCCTCAAGCAGGCGATGTTCACGGTAGCGAACAACATGATGGAGCCTAATGGCGGCCAGGCTTTCCTCGACCATTTGGGCGCACCCCCGACAGCTGCCACTGTATTTTCGATTATTGCTGATATCCGTAGTGGGATCTTCTCTTCTCCCCGAAGCATCCGGCGCAGACTGCCCAACGAATGGCTTGCGTCAGTGGCACCGCCAAACGTTTCTGCGACTGACATTCTCCAGAGTCTCAAGGACGTCCCAGTGAGGTTAACCAGAAATGAGATCCTATACGACATGCGATCGCTACAACAGGCGGGAAGCCAGGAGGGTGGGGACTTGGACGAACAACGCCGATGTGTGCAGCAGAACTCCATCAATCGGCGACTGGCCCGGCTTGCACGACGAACCGAAAACATGGGCATACATTTTTTGGAGGACGCTGGCGGCGACATTCACACTGACGACGGCGTGATCGCTCAACAGCTGGCCGCCCACTGGCGACGGGTCTTTGGCCACAAGCCCGTGGACGAAACGAAGCTGGTCACATGGGCGGCTCTGGCCACACACGCGGGGGCTCAACGTCTGACGGTCCCTGCAAGTCAATGGCGCCTACGCTCCAAGGACATCCAGAAGTCCCTGCGCATCGCTGGCAACTCCAGGCCAGGGCCAGACGGCGTGCCATTTCAGGCGTGGCGATGCCTGGGCCCTCTAGGCGTTCACGCTCTTTGGGAGGCCGGTCGCCTGATGGAGGGTGGGCTGCAGGACGGGGATGCGGCGCACGATGGCTTCAACGCGTCCCTCTTGTGTTGTCTCCCTAAGAAACCGACCAGCACCAGCGAGGCTGGGGAACATATCTACAAGCCAGAAGGGACACGTCCCCTCTCCATCACAAACACTGACAACCGCATTATCGCGAACGCTTACCGTTTGCGGTGGGAGCCTATGGTGGGCCCTGGTATTGCGTCTTCACAAAGAGGATTCATTCAAGGGAGATCGATGCTGTCGAATGTTGTGGACGTGGAGCACCGTGCGATGCTGGCCGCCACAGAGGAACAGGATGCCGCGATCGTCCTGTTCGACTTCACGGCGGCCTTCCCATCAGTATCGAGGACGTACATCATGGAGATGGCCCGCGCAGCCGGCTTCCCGTCTATGGCCATGGGCGTCCTCGCGGCGCTCTACCACAAAACAGTTGGCGCTCTACTCCTGAACGGCCGGCTGTACGAAACGCCATCACCGACACCAGCGTCAACACCTACGACGACGCCGCCACCACCGCAAGCGCCTACACCAACGATAATGCTTGCACCGACGCCTGCACGAGCACCAGCCCCCACACCAGCTCCGACGCCAGCGCCGACACCAGCGCACTGGTGAGCTGCGCGGCTCACCGGTGTCCCAGGAGTGCACCTGGTTTTGACGCCAGCGCCGACGCCTGTACCGACGCCAGCATCAACACCTGCGTCGACGCCGGCGCCAACGCAGGAGCCTACACCAGCGACAACGCCAGCACCGCCGCCTGCACGAGCACCAGCCCCCACAACAACGCCGACGCCAGCGCCGACGCCAGTACCGACACCAGCATCAACGCTTGCGCCGACGTTGGCACCAATTCAAGCGCCTACACCAGCGACAACGACCACACCGACGCCAGCACGGGCAACAGCCCCTACACCAGCTCCGACGCCAACGCCGACACCAGCTCACCGCTGAGCTGGGCGGCTCACCGGTGTCGCAGGAGCGCTCGTTGGCGCTTACGCCGGCACCGACGTCAGCACCGACACCAGCTTCAACGCCTGCGCCGACGCCGGCGCCAACGTAAGCGCCTACAACAGCAACAACGACAGCTCCGACGCCTGCACGAGCACCAACGCCCACCCCAGCGCCGTCGCCAGCGCCGACACAAGCGCACCAGTGAGCTGCGCGGCTCACTGGTGTCCCGGGAGCGCCCCGAGCGACGAACTGGGGCCCGCCGACGAGGGCAACGAGGGCAACGAAGCGACCTTGGAAATCGTGCGCCCCGTGGAGGCGACGGAGGTGGTGGCAGATAGCCCCAGAATTCGTTCACGACAGGCCAAGGGCCGTGAGTGGCACTTTTGGTCCGCCCCACCGCCTCCCCCTGGGGGCCCCACGCCTCGGGTGGCAGGGACCGCTCCGCTCTCCCCCTCTCCTGCTGCTGCGGCCTCCTCCCTCCCTCCTCTTCCTCTCTCCCCTTCCCCCCCTCGTCCCCCTCCTTCCGCTGTTGCGGCCCCTCCCTCCTTCCTCTTCCCCTCTCCCCCCGCCGTTGTCGTCGTCGCCGCCGCCGCCTTCGCCGTCTTCGTCGCCGTCGTCGTTGCCGTCGGGGGCGGTCCTGCCTTCCTGGGGCTTGTGGCCCCCTCTGGGGGGGGGGCGTCCGATGGTAGTGATGCTGGGCTCAGTCTCCCCGCCCCGCGCCTCCCGCGTCCTCCTCTTCCTGCGCTGGTCGGTCTTGTGAGTGGTTTAATTAAGTCTGCAGGCGGGCCTTGTGCCCAGCCCGGGGCGCCCGCCCACCGAGATGCCTCGGCCCCTCCTTTTTTGCGGGGGTGGACGCCTCTCGTGGCCTCGGCGCGCCGCGGGTATGCTACATACCTAGACGTTTAATTTGATTCCTTGCTTGCTCCTGCGTGTACTGCTCTGGGGTGTTTGGCCCGCCAGTGGAGCCCTGGGCTGTGACCTGGCGTCCATTCAATTTTTTTACTCCTCCTCTTCTCCCTCCTCCTCTTCTCCTCCTCCTCTCCCGCTTCCGCCTCTGAGTTGATAGGATTCCGGGGATATGTTCTATCAGCCATGCTGCCGCATGAGTTTTAACTTAGTTTGCATGGTGAGTCTTCCTTTCTCGTGCCGTTGTGTGAGGCCGCATTGTATAAGTGGTCGATGGGACCATAGATGGGGAGTGATGCACACACAGCGCCATGATCCTTTCGTCTTATTCGAATAAGACGTTTCTTTTTTCCTCCTCGTGCAAATGGTCCTGCCTCGATGCACCGATTCCGTGACACATGCATTTTCCTCACTGTGCGAGTACAGGGTTTTTGTATCGGGCCTGGCAGGCTGTGTGAGGCTGCGTGCGGCTGGCAGTCGGACTGGAGATATGTGGTGCTTTGCGAGTTCCCTGACCTTCCCTTTCCCCCCCTCTCCAAAATATGGCGCTGTAAAAAAAAATGTTCCTCCTCCTCCTCGTCATCCTCCTCCTCCTCCTCCTCCTCCTCCTCCCCAAGCTGTCTCGTTTAAAACCCAAGTGGGCCCCCACGGTCATCGAAACGGCTCCAGGGGTTTACTCGTCTGACCCGCGAAAGCTGCTCGCGAACGAAGCCAACGTGTTAGGATCCTTCTGGGGGGCCACGCCGTGCCCCGAGCCCCTCGAAGTTCTGGATCGCGAATGCTTTGAGCGCTTGAGGCCCGATGATATCCGTGCTACGTGTAAAACCTTCAGCCCGCACACGGCTCAGAGTTTGGACGGTATTCATGTCAGACACTACGGTATGCTTTGTGACGAAGGCCTGGAGGCCCTCTGCTGCATGTTTCAAGTTATCGAGAAGATCGGAGTCTTCCCGAAAGCGGTGTATTGGATGTTTTTTCCCCTGCTTGAAAAAACCAAAAGGGGGTCTCAGGCCCGTGTTGCTTTGTGCTGCCCCTGTTAGGCTCTGGGAGAAAGCTCGGCGTTCCACTCTCTTGGGATTTCAGGAAAAACATCCCAGGAGGTACTGGGCCTTCGGTTCGGGGAAGTCGGCGGAAGGCAGTATATGGAATCAGGCGGTGAGAGCTGAAGCTGAAGAAGGGGACGGTGGAGTCACGGGAGGTTTCTCGTGGGATGGCTCCAAATACTACGAGTCGTTCAGGCTCACCACCCTCCGTGATCGATCCTTGGCGGCGGGGCTGCCAGCCGTCGTGGTGAAGGTCACTTTCAATTTTTGGCGTGGGCCGAGGATCCTGCGGCTAGGCACGGACCATAGCCTGGTGCCACTCTTTGCGACGTCAGGGTTACCAGCGGGGTCCTGCCTCAATGATATATGTGTCAAGGTCTATGCCATGGTTCCTTTCGATAAGTTTCTGGAGCGCAACCGTGACGTGGCTTTGGCCTCGTACATTGATGACGATACTGTCAGTGCGTACGGCAGCCCAGATCATGTTGTTGAGGCCCTGGGCAAAGCCGCTGAAGACCTCCATGAGGTCTTCCAACGCGATTTGGGAGTCGGCCTTGCGGCCGACAAGCTGTTCACCTTCGCCTCCACCCCTACCCTGTCGCTACGGCTTGGACGCAGGATCGGAACGCTGGCTGGAACGGTGGGCACCCATGTTGTGTCTTTGGGGGTTGATCTGGCGCCTGGGGTCGAGCGTGGCAAACATCGGGTGTGTGCTAAACGTAGGACCAGGATTGCTGACATGATTAGAAGGCATCGTAAGCTCAAGCGTCTCAGGAAGAGCCTCCCAAGGTACAAGGGTCGCATTGGGAAAATCTACACGGCGGGGGTTCGGCCTGCCGTTTCTTTCGGGGACACGGTCACTGGAGCCACTGATGCCGAGCTTAAAAAGATTCGTTCGATAATGCTTTCCTTTCAGTCGCCCGCTCATGTGGGAGTGTCGGTCAAGGCTAAGACGGTGCTGCACGGCGACCCTGTCTGGCGTAGCATGGTCGCCCCCGCCTTAGCGTGTGCCAGCGCCGTCTGGCACACGTCCACTAAGCCTGGCCTCGCGCACTTCACGCTGCCCGACCTTCGGCGCATGTGGCTGGCGGTGCCCAAGGAAGGACTACTGTGGGGAAAAACCAAAGGCCCCATATCTAGAGCGTGGCTCTCCCTGGATAGGATCGGTTGGAAAAGTAATGGCCCCTTCCTCTGGACTGGCGATCGAGGGAATGAGCTTTCGCTCTTCTACAACTCCCCTGCTATGCTTAACGCCCTGCTTAAGGAAGGTGTCCAAAGGCATCACGAGAGGGTCCTGGGGAGCAGGCTCGGTTGGGGCGAAGGGGAGCGAGTTTGTGTTGACCCCATTCGTAGAATTACTAAGGCTAATGGCAAGGGTTTGGGGTTGAGTGCCCAGGGCAAGTATATGGTGAGAGCCATGTTCTGCGACGGGTGTTGGTGTGAAGACCGTGCCATCCGAGCGGGGGTACCTGTCGCAGGGTTTGTGCCCCGTCTGCAACCAACCTGACTCCATCCATCACCGTCTGTACAAGTGTGAGGGGTCGGCCGAGATTAAGAATGCCCGCGAGGCCGTGCAGGCCACTGATTTTTTCTTCCAGCAGGCACGGGAAGGTGCTCAGGAGTTCTTCACAGGACTCAAGTTTCGGCACCCGTCTACCTCGTGGCCTCAGCCGAGCGACGAGCATGAGCCTGCCTTGTTCGATGCTGAGGGCGCCCCCATGGACTGGGGCGCCTTCAACACAGAGGGCCTGAGCGTGTCAGGCGATGGCTCGTGTGTCCCGCACATGATAAAGGAGCTCTCCAGGGCCTCATATGCGTGGGTCTTCATGGGGGCCGATGGGCAGCCGGTGGCGACAGCAAAGGGCACAGTGTGGCCATCTCTTCCGCAGACGAGTCAGGCGGCAGAACAACTTGCGCTCAGCCTCCTCCCTATCTTCGTACCCCAGTATGGTGCCGCGTGTTATAGTGATTGTATGAATGCGCTTCGGTTGCACAACAGTTCCCCACAGATGCAGCTTAACCCTAAGCATACGTATTCGGGCTTACGTCGTGGAGCGTTACAGCATATGCAGGCTAACAGATATGCGCCAGCAGTGTATACTCCAGCTCACCGTGATCTCAGTGTGATCGATGCACTCCCTGCCCCCGAAAGATGGATCGGTCAAGCTAATTGGCGTGCGGACAGAGAAGCCAAGCAAGCAATTTTGTTACACCCTCAGCCTGCTCAGGCCGAGCGGGATGCAGTAAGTAGCTCGATCAGAGATCTCGAAACGGTGGCACGACTCGCTGCGGAGATTTTGCCGCTGTTTCCGAGGGTCCAGCACCAGAGGCCTCCGAAGCAAGACAAGCGTGTCACACTTTTTAAATCAGCTGACGGCTGGCATGCGTGGGAGCCCTGGTTATGGGGCCACAGATGCAGCAATTGTCTTCGTTTTTATAGTGGTTGTGAGGGCTCCAGGCCCGAGGTCGGATGTTCGGGGTTCCCGAGTCTGGTGCAGGAGCTCTTGACCTCTTCCCCGAACCACGGCCACCAGCTGGCCAGTACCCAGGTTGCGGACCAGGAGCGCCCCCTTTTGTTTTGTATGCGGTGCGGATATTTCGCGCAGCATCGGATTCATATGTTGGCTAAGCGGTGTGAGAAGCCACGCACTGATGAGCAGCGTAGCAGTGCGGGCACCACGGCTCTCAGGAGGCTGAGGCGAGGGCTCCATCCCAAGAAGCCGTGGGCGGTGTCGTGTGCTGCGGCCGAGGCGGCGAATCCAACCGTGGTGGCTGAGTACATCGCTGCCAATCGCCCGCTCTCCATCCCAGCTGCTGCTCGGCCACTCCAGTCTCTGTCTGCCGTCAGCGCCCGTGTTCGGGCTAGAATTGGGGGCGGGGACGGTGGTGGGAGCGGGGCGGGGGACGAGTCGCGCAGGCCCTCCGCAGGCGCGCCGCGCCCAGGTTCTGGCGAGACGGCGGCGAGCGGTGGCCGAAGGACCACCAGCGGCGGACCCGCCGCCGCCGCCGCGGGCCCGAGGGAGGAGATGGAGGTTGAGGAGTCCCTCCGCTCGTCGTCGGGCCCCTTTTCAGGTGATAGTGACTAAGGGGACGTGGGCAGGTTCGACTCGAGGCTATGCCCCCTCGGGCGTGGTCCAGGGTCGTGCCTGCGCCGTCCCCAGTCCCAGCGGCGTCGGTTTAGATGCCGCTGTACTGGTTCGGCCCACGGTGGCCAAAAAAAATTCCTCCTCCTCCTCCTCCACCTCCTCCTCCTCCTCCTCCTCCTCCTCCTCCTCCTCCTCCTCCCCCTCCCCCTCCGCCTGCTGGTGGCGCCTGGTTGCATTCTCTCTTGGCAGCGTGCCCAAACCATCTTGTTCAGTTGGGGGCTCTCAGCCTCCCCCTTTCCCCCGGGGCCTCCCCCTCCCCCCCCCAGTGCAGCGTTCGACTCGACCGCTTAGGCGAGCGTCACTGCCAGTATCGCAGTATGAATTGTGGGATCTCTTGGGTCCCAGCTTCTTGCTGGCATGCGCGTGCTCTCGGCGATCTTGTGGCCCAATCATGCCTTCCAAGTCAGGGGCTGGCCTTCCCTGCTCGCCTGCTGGGTCGCCCCCGCCCGTCTCATCAGTAGCATTTGTCCTTTCTGTTACGGGGAAGTGCCTCGTGGGGGGCGTCAGTGGTGGATCCCCGTGCGGTCCCGAGCGCCCCCCCAACGCGCACTCTGACCCGGATATTCCAGAGCGCCGCACTCAGCGCATGCCATCGTCCGGGGACGTCGACTTCCTCCCTCCCTCCTCGCCCCCTCCCTCCGTCCTCCCCGCTTCTCCTCTCTTCTCCCCTCGTCTGCCTGACGCCCCTCGTCCTCCTCATCCTCCTTCTCCTCGTCCTCGTCCTCGTCTCGATTCCCTCCCTACTACCACTCCTACCACACCTTTGCACCTTGGAGGAGATGCTGGCCTCATCCTTCTTCTTTTTCCCCCGAGTCATCTTGTAACTAATGTTGCGTGTCCTCCCCTTTGCAAAGTTAATGCTACTTCTACTCTTCGTTTTGACAAGAGCGCAGTGTGAATGTACATCATGTTATGGTCGTGATTCGCCTGGATCCTTGTGGTCGTGCTCGTGGTGCTGTCCTGGCTCTCAATACACCAGGAGAGTTTCGGGTGGCAGGTCTGCTGGTCTTGGGCTGTCAGTTCCCCAGCTTTCGTTTGCAGCGTGGGTCGTCGTCGACTCTGCTCGGGGCCAGCACTGCCCCTCCGTGCCTGGCACGCTCGTGCAGCCCCGCCTTCTGCTTCTCCGAGGCGGTCTTTGGGTCGCCATGCCCCGCCCCTAGCTCCGTCCTCTCGAAGGTCTGTCTGGCCATCTGTGCCCTCAGCCATTGCTGCCCTGCTGCGGAGCACGACACGCCCACCGCGTGTGGCATCCAGTGGCTGTGGCTGGAATGGGAGACGCCATCCGCGTCCGCCCCCGCCGCTCCCCCCCCACGGCGCTCCTGCTGCCCCGCGACGGTGACGGTAGACGCGGCTTGGTGGTGCTGACCGGCACAGGTCAGCTTGCGTGCAGCGCAGCAGGACGGTGCGGGGGTGGAAGGACCAGGGCGGGGAAGGCGAGAGGGGGGGAAAGAGGAGCCGTTGAGTGAGGAGCGAGCGAAGTGGGGGCAAAGAGGAGAGATGGACGAGGGAGGCCCTCCCCTCCCCTCCCCGCTTCCTACGACCGCCGCCCTCTTCCTCTCTTTCCCTCTCCCCCTCCACTCCTCCCCCCCCCTCCTCCATCTCCTCCCCCTCCTCCTCTCGCCCCCTCCCCCTTCTCCAACTCCCACGCCTTCTCCCCCCCCTCCTCTTCACCCGTTCTATTCCGAGTTCGCCGCTCCCTCCCCTCCCCTCCTCATCCTGCCCCCCTCTCCCCCAGGCCCATTCCCCCCTCTGACCCCCGCGGGAAGGGCGGGAGGCATTCAACCGTCTCGCCCGTGGGCTCCCGCCAAAGTCGGGCATGGCTTCCCTTCGGCGATGGAGGGCGTAGCCAGGCCAGCACATGAGAGCCGCAAGCTCACCTTAGCGCCGCAGCGCCTTGCCCCTCCCCCAAGCCCCTCCTCTTCCTCCTTTCCCTCCTCGCCATCCCTCCCCCGCACCCCGTCGCGGGCCCTGATCGGAGTGGAGTGATGGAAGCACTTGTTCTCCAGAGTGACGAGCCCCTCTCGCGAGTCACTTCCCTTCGGGACTGTCCTAATCTAATTGTTGACAGCCCTGACACGTCTGGTGACAAGATCGGAGAATCTGTTCACTGTCCAGTCTACCCGCTGCGGGCAATGAGCGTTCCCATAACGTTCCACTGGACGTGGAACTCACATACGAATCTGTGCGGCCGTCAGCCGCTCCCTGGCCCTCCGCCTCTCTCCTTCTCCCTGCTTCCACGGACGGGATGGCCCTGCCATTCGTCCCCATACACACAAGGACGGGACAGCCCTCGGCCACGCGTTCACGCGGGTTCGCTCTCAAGCTCGTGCGGCCACCGGCCGTCCCCTGGCACCGGGAGTCCCCGGTGGGCCCCCCTCAAGCTGGCCGGCTGGTGATGTCAGTACCCACCGCCCCCGCCAAGAGAGGGTCCCACAAGGGCAGGGCAGGCTAGTTGCCACATGACCCCGCGGCCCCGCATCGTTGTGTGGTTTGCCGCCCCCTGGCGCTGGAGTCCCCTGGTGTCCGCCTCTCTCCCGCTGCACTGGCGATGTCCTTTCCCGCCAGTCTGGCCCGCCCCCCGCGCAATACGCGGTCCTCTAGTCTAAGCGGCGTCTGCGACGTGACCCTGGGCCAGGCTCCCTGGTGCAGTCGCCCTCCGGGGCCTGGTCCATCCAAGCCTTGTTGCTAGGGACTGGCGTCGTCCAGAGGGTACTCGTGATGTGTCGCGGAGTGGTGCAGCCTTCCAGCAGACACCGTGCTTCCCCTGCGCCCCGTCCCCGCCCACCTGGCATGCTCTGAGCCGTTGCCGCGGCCTTGGCCCTTGGCGCCCTGCGGCGCCATGGTCAGTCTGTACCTGGTCACTCCTGGCCACAATGCCTGTGCTCAATCGCCTTCGCCCAGCTCCGTTCCTGGTTGTGCACCGCTTTCTGGTTCACCGGCAGTGGCAGTGCCCTCGCCAGCTCGAGGCATGGCCGTGTGCACAGTGCTGGTCAGGCGTTTCTGGCGTGCAGTTCCTAATTCCACCTCTGGCACCTTTGCCTCAGGTCTGCAAGTTGCATCAGCTTCCCTGGGCGTTGCAGACCAGCCATCCAGTTCCACCAGCAGCAGCTGCACCTCAGCCGCCGCTTCTGAGTGCTGGCCCGGCCGGCTTGCGTGTCGCTCAGTAGCAGTAGCTAATAAGGCTGGCCCGTGCCCCGGAACCCGTCTCGCCGCCTGCACTTTCGCTTGCGGCTGCGACCAAAAAAGTATCCCCACCAGTCGGACCTCACTCGCCGCTGGCGCCCTCGCCTGCGGTTGCGACAAAGAAATCCCCACCAGCCCACGCAGAAACGATGCCCAGGGGGAGTTGAGGTGATCAGGGAAGCGCGGGAGCATGCAGACGAACGAAGGGCAGGGGAAGCCGTCATACACCCCAAGAGCAGGAGGATGGAGGAGGAATCGTCGTCGTTGGAAGAGGAGGAGGAGGAAGAGGATGATGATGATGATGATGAGGAGGCGGAGGCGGAGGAGGAGGAGGAGGAGGAGGAGGAGGAGGAGGAGAAGGAGAACGAGGAGGAGGCGATGGAATGGGGCGACAACGAGGACGAGGACGAGCATCTCCCCTTCGGGGCTCTCCTAGGCTGACTAAACCCCTCCCTGCCAAGGGGGGTGGGGCAGCCCTGCCCCCCGCCAGGCGAGCCCGCCCCAGCGCTGCCCGCCCCCCTGGACCTCGAGGAGCTGCTCGGCCGCATGGCCCGAGGGCTGGAGGCCCTCGAGGGACGTCATCGTCGTCATCGTCCTGGTCGCCTTCGTCTTCGTCGTCGTAGTCGTCGTCCTCGTCCTCGTCGCCGCCGTCGTCAATGTCAGCACTCCTCGTCGTGGTCGTCCTCGTCGTCCTCGCCGTGGTCGTCCTCGTCCTCCTCGTCGTCCACGTCGTCCTGGTCGTCGTCGTCGTCGTCGTCGTCGTCGTCGTCGTCAATGTGGTCGTCATCTTCGTCGTCATCGTCGTCCTCGTCCTCCTCGTCGTCCTCGTCGTCCTCATCGTTCTCGTCGTTCTCCTCGTCGTCGTCGTCGTCGTCGTCGTCGTGATCGTCGTTGTTCTCGCTGTCGTCGTCCTGGTCGTCTTCGTCATCGTCGCCGCCCTCGTTGTCCTCGTCGGAGATCTGGGCTTGTGTGGTCGCCTGCCCGAGCCCCCCCCGGCGGGGAGGCCTTCCGGCCCTTCTGGGCGCAGCAAGAGCGGCGGCCCGGCGAGTTCGACGCGCTGCGGGTGGCCACGCCGGGCCGCCGCGCGCGCGTGCGGGGTGCCCAGAGCTCCAACGTCTTCACAAGAATCAAGCTTGGCGTTTGCTGCACTTTTGCCTTGTGGCGATCCAGCGTCTTGATAAGAATCAAGACGGATTTGTTGTGCAGTTTTCGGCCTCCAGGGGCCCTCGCCGGGCCCCAGGACCGTCAAAAAACGATTCAGGACGAGAAACCGGTCCCGGGGAATGGGTCGAGACTTCTGGGGACCCCGTATTGAACAGAACACGATGTCGGACGTTTAGGGGTGAGTCCTCCTGCCACCGATCAGTCAGTCAGGAACTGTGTCTAGACGGCACACCGTGTGCTCCAGGCGCCCTGCGCAGCAGGAAGGCGTTGCTGTTGCATCTGGAAGTGAAGTGCAGAACTCGTGGAGTCATAGGGGCGCATCGGTTGCAGATCACCTGCGTGAGTGAATGAGCAGTGGCCTTCCAGCGTCAGATGGGATTGTGCAGAAACCACTCATGCCCGACCCCGCCAAGAGGTCCACTCAAGCCCGGCCCCGCCACTGATGGGCGACACGCACGTCGAAGAAGACGCAATACCCCAGCAAAGCATTTTCACATCAGCCAAGGTGCCTGGGGCGGGTCGAGGAGTGGGGGGCGGGAGGTCGGCCAGTGAAAACGCGGATTCCGAGGTCACTGCGCGTTTTGTCACCGCAAGGGCCTGGCACCCCTAAGAGGAATCAGACACGACCAGGCAGGCCGAGAGTGAGGATGAATCGTTCCAGAGCAGTCTGGAACGCTCTCAGGGCTCTCCGGTACACTCCTGAACGACCAGAATTCCGCTCTCTCTGTGGCTGCACGCGCTCCTCCCCCCCCGTCAGGAGAGGACCAGCCATCCGCAGGCCCTATACCCTGGCCCCAGATGTGGTGGATGCTGGCTTCCAGCTAGGCCAGAAGGCCACCTTCGCTAAGCTGCGTGTCCAGAGCGGGCCTACGGAGGCGTGCGTGGTGGAGGACACCGTCCGCATTTTTCACTAGCGCGCCGCGCCGCCAGTGGTGTCCGCAGAAGTCGCCCTTGAAGGCTTTCGTGGCGGAGGCCATGCCGATGGCCAGCTCTGGCCTGCACGGCGCGTCGGTGCCACACGCTGATCACGCCCCCGGTCCCCAGGCGTCAGCGTCCCGAGCTCCTCTAGGCCTCCCTGCTCCTCTTCCTCCTCTTCTTCTTCCTCCTCCTCCTTCGTCTCGTCCTCCTCCTCCTCCTCCTCCTCCTCCTCCTCCTCCTCCTCCTCCTCCTCCTCCCCCTCCCTCTCCTCTTCTTCCTCCTCCTCCTCCTCATTCACACATTCATTCCTTCACTGACTCCCTCTCTCTTTCTTTCTTTCTCTTTTTGTTTGCCCTCTCTCTCTCTCTCTTTTTCTCTCTTTCTCTGTTGAAGTCTGCTTCTGATGATCGCGTCTTCAACCCAATCAGTTGCACATCAAAGTCGCATGAACAGCCAGCGCTGCCACCAGGCCTGCGCCCATACAAGCGGAGCGCCTGCTGCTGTGATCGCGGCGCGGCCCCGTAATCTTAGGAGCTGCGGCTGGCAGGCGAAGCTCTCCCTCACCCTCTCCTCTCCCTCTCCATCTCCCTGCCCTCCCCCTCGTTCCCCTCCTGCCCCTCCTCCTCCTCCCTCGCCTCCCCCTCCTCCTCCTCCTCCTCCTCCTCCTCCTCCTCTTCCTCCTCCCCTCCCTCTCCATTTCCCTGCCCCCCCCCCCCTGCAGCCGCGCGCTCGGCGCCGCGAGGTGTGCCGCCGCCTCGCGCCCCGCAGCTTCGACGTGGAGCTGGTGCGCATGGGCGACGCGGCGCCGGCCACGCCCGAGGACGCCCCCCGTCCCTGGATCTGCACGAGCCCAGACCCCCTCGAGTCATGAAAAAATCACGACGGGAGGTTTTTCATTATTTTTGGCCTCTGGGGGCCCTTACCGGCCCTCGGGACCGTCAAAAAACGACTCAGGACGAAAAACCGGTCCTGGGGAAGGGGTCCAGACCTCTGGGGGTCGCCGTCATGAAAAAATCATGACGTCGGGGGTCTGGGAACGAAGTGGGTACGGAAAGAATGGGCACAATGCCCAACAGCAGTTCCTGTTCATTCTGAACAGGGCTCGCTGTCCACGCCGCCGCGGCCTGTGTCCACCCGAGACGGAAGGGCCGCCTGCCCAACAGCGGCCGCTGCTGGTTTGGGACAACATTTGTTGTTGGGCATTGCACCCATTCTTTCCGTACCCGTTTCGGGCGTCCAAGCTGGAGCAGGGGCGAGGCGCCCTGGCCTGCCCGGCGATCGTTGGCCTAATTATTCTAAAGTCGGGCCTGCCTCTCTACAGGAGGCATGTCCAGAACTAGTTCAGAAATGATTTGGGCACGATTTGGGAAACATATGTTTGATGACATTTGGGTCACTCTTTCCGTATCTTTATTCTTCGACCAAAATCCGGCTATCGGGGGACATGCCCGACCGAAGCTTATTCATGGTTTTGCCGTTCGGCGCGGGCCCTCTCCCCCCCCCTATGGAGTAGATCTTGGCTGTTTCTGGCGCCTGTCTCGAGCAGGTGGAGCCTCCCCCATAGGGCGCACTGCTGCAACAAAAATCGCATGACGCAGAGGTCTGGAGTCAGACCCCCCCTCCCTTCCGCCCAATGTCGAAACGCCGAACAGGAAAAAGCTGACCTGCCTGTAGTCCCACCAGAGAGAATGTTCTAATATGGTTTCTTCTGGTGATGCCCTTCGAGTAGAACGTTTCTGTCTGAGACCGTCCGGGTTTAGATACATCGGGCTTCTGTTTTGAGCACATTCTAAGACACTTCCGTGGTAGGCGTGCAGGAATGCCCAGGGGGTCGATCCCTTCTCAACATTCCCACGGCTGGGGGGGGGAAACGATCGGGAACTTTGGCTTCGCGCGCCGGTTCTGGCCCACTACGCTTCGTCGCGACACGCTGCTCGGAGGGGGAGGAGGAGGAGGAGGAGGAGGAGGAGGAGGAGGAGGAGGAGGAGGAGGACGTCCCAGTTCTCAGGCGTCGACGTCCCGAGCTGTGCCCCAGCCTCCCGCTCCCCGCGGAGCGACGCGCCCTCCGCTCTCGCAGGGCACGGCGTGCCGCCGGGGCCGCCGGCGCGACGCGCTGTAAGCAGAGGCTCCTTATACTGCAGGCTCGGGGCTTCGCGCGTCGAGGCTCGAGGTTGTCAGACGCTTTTGCCGGCCATCTGCGGTCCTCTGGTCTCGGGGGAGCGTAAGGCCCGGGTTTGCCAGGACTCGGGTTTGCCATCGTTTTTTGACGACCGCGCCTCAGATTTTGACGCGGAGGAGTTTCGTGGGATGTCTGCAGCGGGAGGCCTCGTCAAAATGCAGGCTCGGCCTCGTCATTTTTTTGACGACTTCGTCGGGGATTTCCGAGTCCCTTGTACCCAGGTCTTACGTCCCCCTGACATGAGATGCCGCATTTGGGGGCCAGGTCTCGCCGAGAGCGCTCCAGGGCTGCCCGGACCGTCCCGAGCGGCCGCCGGAGAGCCGAGCTGTGGCTCGGAAGCCAGGGGGGAATGTTAGGGGGGGCAGGCTTCAGATGCAGCAGCTTCACGCAGAGCAAGGAGGCCGCCCCGACTAGATCCCCCCACGCGTGCGGCGCCAGCTCGCTTCGGGCAGCCCTCCTGCTCGATGGTGCAGCACCGCTCCTTCTTGCCCTCGCTCCACCCGGCTTCCAAATTGGAGTGGCGCGTGTCAAGGTCATAGGGCTTGGACGGAGCTTCCGGGCATCTCAATCAGCACCACACTTCCCCGTACGGGGACCAGCCGGCTCCCCAATTCGAGTGCCCGGCGCTGCGGGCATACAGCTTGCATGGACGACGTGTCTTCACGGCCAGCCTGCACCGCTGGGGGGAAGCGATCGGGAACTCTGGCTTCGCGTGTCGCGCCGCCGGTTCTGGCCCACCACGCTTCGTCGCGACACGCTGCTCGGAGGAGGAGGAGGAGGAGGAGGACGTCGCCAGCCTGCACCAGCGGTGCTGCTGCCGCCTCCTCCTCTTTCTCCCCTCCTCGTGGTCCCTCAGGCCCTCCCCCGCTGGCAACCTCGTGCGCCGCCTCCTCCTGCTTCGCCTCGCCCACCTCCTGGCCGCCTCCTCTTCCTCCTCTTCCTCCTCCTCCTTCTCCTCCTCCTCCTCGTCCTCCTCTTCCTCCTTCTCCTCTCCCCTCCTCCTCCTCCTCCTCCTCCTCCTCCTCTTCCTCCTCCTCCTCTCCCTCCTCCTCCTCCTCCTCCTCCTCCTCCTCCTCCGCAGCAGCAGCAGCAGCAGCAGCAGCAACACCAGCATCAGGCTCGTCGTCCCCCCTCCTCGGCGCGTGCCGCCGCGTCTCCGGCGCCCCGCGCGCCGGCCTTCTTTCTGCGTCTCGTCGATCACGCGCTGGCTGCCTCCTTTGGGCTCCTCTTGCGCTCCTCAGTCACCTCCTCATAGCCTCATGGTCTCGTTTTCGTCATCCTCCTCCTCGCCCTTCTCCTCCTCCTCCTCCTCCTTTTTCTCCTCCTCTTCCTTTTTCTCCTCCTCCTCCTCTTCCTTTTTCTCCTCCTCCTCCTCCTCCTCCTGCTCCTCCTCCTCCTCCTCCTCCTCCTCCTCCTCCACCTCCTCCTGCTCCCCCTCACGCGACGGCAGCCGCCGCCGCCGCCGCCTGCAGTGCCACCGCCGCCGCCAGGCGCGCAGCGGCCGCCCCAGGCCGCGGTTACGACAGCTGCTGCAGGATGGCCCGCGCGTTTTCCCGGCGCAGGGAAACGGAACGTCGCTGAGCCATTTTGTCGCTTCGCCGGCGGCCTCCTCCTTTCCGCGCTCGTAGGCAGCGCGCGCAGCTAGCAGGGCGAAGGCGCGTCGCGTCTCGCCGCCCAGTCCCCGTCGTGCGCCTCCACCACCACCCGTACCTCCCGAGGGGAGCGCCGGGGTCGGCGGCGGAGTGCGCAATGAGGTCCCCGCTGAAGCCGGACTTCACCGCGAAGTCCATGGCGGCGGAGGGGCCGCCGCGCCCTTTGGGGACGTAGACATCAGCCGGCCGGTGGCCATCGTTGTCCAGTCCGTCGCCGTGCAGCTCTTCGGCGTCCGGCCCTTCGCCAGGTGCCCAGGGCGGCAGCAGCCCGGGCCACTCCAGCTCCGCCCCCGAGAAGCCAGCGGCATGGGCGTCGACGGAAGTGCCGTTGCGGAGCTTGTTGTGGCGCCGCGTGCGGTCGCCTTGGCAGGCGCACGCCGAGGCGTGGTCGCAGCGCGCGTCCATGACTTCTCCGCGCGCCGGGCAGAACGTCTCCTCCTCCCTCACCTGGACCCGGGTCCGCCGTCCGATCCCGATCTGCACTAGGCTCTGCGAGATCGCTGCGCCGAGCGCCTCGCCGGGGGGCGTCCGCAGGTGCGCGCCGGCGCCCGGCGCGGCCACGAGGTCAAGGTGGGCGCGCGTCGCAGGCGAGGGGCGGTCCCAAAGAATTGCGCGCGCGGCGTCGTCGAGCTTGTCCGAGAAGGTCTTCTGGTTGGAGTGCGTCTCGGGGTCGAAGCGAGGGGCGCGGTCTGCCTCAGGCAAGCTGGCGTTGTGGGCCGGGAGCGCCGCGGTCAGGGCCCCAGCGTCGCCCGCTTCGTCGTCTGCGTAGCCCGTGCACATGGACTGGCAGAGCTCACTGTTTTTGGTGCGCGAGGAGAGGTAAGCTGGCGGAGCGAAGGCCCAGGCCGCCTCTGTTGAGTTTCAGCTGCCTTGCGCCCGGGAGTTCCCGGCGAGGGAGGTGCTGACCAGATTCCCCAGGCCGGAGCGAACAGCGGAGCCCATCTCCAGAAGAACGTGGGTGGAGGGCGGCACCATGCGCGCCGAGAATGCAGGCTCACCTGCGCGTTGTCCAGGCAGGCCAGCGCGTCCAGGAGCTCCGCGGTCTTCTTTACGCGTTTCAGCGTGCGCTGGCGGCAGAAGTCGTCGCTCCCGATGGGCGTGCCGGGGAGCTCGAAGCAGCCGTTGGTGCGCTTGCGAACCCGGCCACTGCGGTTTTTGGTCGAGCTCCCTGTTGGGCCACGAACCGTGTGTGTGTGTGTGGTGCGACGAGATAGCGACGGAACTGCATGCGAACCATTCCGCTGGTGCCTTCGGTGGAGGTCCCTATGGGGCCACGAACCGTGTGGGGGTGCGCCAAAATGAGGGCGGAACTGCATGCGAACCCTGCCGCTGGCGCCTTCGGTGGAGCTCCCCATGCGGCCGTGTGAGGGGTGCGCCGAGATGAGGTGGAACTGCATGCCGACCCTGCCACTCAGGCCTTCGGTGGAGCTCCCTACGGGGCCACGAGCCGTGTGAGGGGTTCGTCGAAATGAGTGGAACTGCATGCGAGCCCTGCTGCTTGGGGCCTTCGGTAGAGTTCCCTATGGGGCCACGAGACGTGCGAGGGGTGCGCCGACATGGGGTCGGAACGGCATGCGAACCTTGCACTTGGGGCCTTCGGTAGAGCTCCTTGTGTGGCCACGAGCCGTGCGAGGGGTGCTTTGACATGAGTTTGGAACTGCACGCGCATTGTGCTATTGGGGCCTTATGTGGAGCTGTTCATGCGCCACAAAGCGTGTGAGGGGCGTGCTTACTTCTTGCCGATGTTGATGGCGATGGCGAGGATGTTTGTGGCAATGAAGGTGATGATGCTGCTGATGATCATGATGGTGATGATGACGGTGATGTTGACGAATATGACGACGATGCTGGTATGATGACGGCGCTGATGATGATGACGATGGTGATGATGGTGACGAACGAGACTGATGGCGATATTGGTGACGAGGACGGCTGTGATGAAAATGGTGATGTTGGTGATGATGATGAGGCGGAGTAAGGGGGATGAGGAAGAGAGGGCAGCGGGAAGACGACCGCGGAGCGCTGCCTCTTCAAAACGAGGGCCCAACACCACAATCTGGTTGGGAACGCCCTATGGTTGTGTTCAGAATCTGCAACATCGCGAGCGCACTTTTTTCTTTTGAAAATTCTGATTGTGAAACCGTGTGTTTTGCATTCTCGTTTTCGGAACACTCGGTTTTGACATTCTTAGGACATCAACGAGCTTTAGAGGGCTTTTCGGCATGCGCGCGCGACGAAGCGCGCGTGTGCACATCGTCCCGTTGTTTCCAAAGGATTCTTGAACGTGGATATTTTGTGATAAACGAGTGCGTGCGCACAGCATGTTTTCCAGAGGATGAAAAGGGGGCGATGCCGGCTCGGTCGGCTGGGTTGGTACGAGCTCATACTTGGGAAGGACGAGTGCGCAGGATCATATACGAAATGCAATCTGAAACGGGGGACCGTTAAGTCCAGGGGGGCAGGTGGGGAGATTCCATTATTCTTGTTGTTAAAAAAGAGATGTAAGCGGTGGCGGGGCGGCGATGCCGCGGCGACGGGGCGGCGACGAAACGACGAAAATCGCCGCCAGACCGCCAGACAGGCCAAGACGACGGGCGGCGACGAGGCGGCGACAGGGCGGCGACGACGGCTACATCGCCGCTGGGCCAACAGCCACGCCCAGACGACGGGCCGCGACGAGGCGGCGACGGGGCGGCGACGGCGGTTCCATAGCTGCCAGACCGACGGCCAGGCCTTTCTTCAAACAAGAAGTAAGAACCCCTAGGTGGAAACACTGTTCGGGGAATTGCTATAGTATGTATTATGTATGTATGTACGTAAGTAAGTCAGTCAGTCAGTCAGTATGTAAGTAAGTATGTATGTATGTATGCATATATGTATGTATGTATGTATGTATGTATGTATGTATGTATGCATATATATATATGTATATATATATATATATGTACACACGCACGTATTATCCACACAGTTACATTTGTATCGATTCTCGGCAGTTTTCTTATGCATTGTTTTGCCGATCGGCGCGGGCCTTCGCCCCCCCCCCCCCATGGAGTAAATCTGTGTGGTTTTTGGCGCCTGTTTCCAGAATTGGAGTCTCCCCCGTAGGACGAAGTGTTGCAAGCAGTCGCGTTGAGCAGAGGTCCGGAGCCAAACGCCCCCCTTTCCCCCCCCCCTTCCGCCCAATGGCGACCCGCCGAATAATAAAATGCTCACTTGCTCTCTCTTTCTCTCTCTCTCTCTCTCTCTCTCTCTCTGTTTTTCCGCTTTCCTCCCTGTCTCCACTGATCGGCCCCGTCGCCGCGGAGGACTTCGCCGGCGCCCTCTTCCCACCGCTGGGCCAGCCGAAGGACTCGGATCGTGGTGGCTGTGGGCTCGTCAGCCGGGCCGTCGCCGCCGGCAGAGGTTCCCGCAGGCGTCTCTGGAGGCCCCTGGAGGCCCAGAGAGTTCCCAAGCCCAACACTGCAGATACTCGTGGATCCTTCACGTCCAGGAGCAGGAGCAGGAGCAGGACACTGCAATTTGACCGGATCGGGTGTGGGGGTCGCGATTATTAGAATGGAGGGTGGGGGGTGGAGGAGGTTTCCTTGCTTCACCTGTGCCTGCAGCGTGCTCTGGGGTCTATACTTTCCCATTCTTCTACAGCCGCGAGGCGCCTTTCTTTATCCCGCACTGTTGCAGGGCACAGGCCTGCCACTATTTTTCCACAACTGACGCCACAAGCTTGCACTTCAAGTCCGACGAACGTCCACAACAACAGGAGCAGGACGAGCAGGAGGACGAGGAGCGGGAGGCCGCTGCTTGGTGGCAAGGCGCTCTGGGCCAGCCGCCGGGCAGCGGCTGCTCCAGCCCAAGTCCAGCCCTGTGGTCCTCGCGTCGTACGTTACCACGGCGGGCAATCTTGTTCGTTTCGATCACAAGGGCGCTCCCGGATCCACCCATTTCGAAAAAGGCGGCAGACAGATTCGGTCCATGGTTCCGGACGATCTGCTTTACGTTTTTTCTGTTTTTTGTTTTTCTTTCTTTCCGGGGACGTCGGATCGCAGGGAGGCGTAGGACAAGCAAGAGCAATAACAGGAGCAGTAGCAGGAGCAGGAACAGGCAACGGTCAAATTCAGCGCCGTGGACATCGACCTCCTGGCGTTGGGCTATGCGCCGACGGCTGCAGAAGCGCGGGTGCTCCTACGGCTGGGTGGCGAGCGCCTGGTAGTATTACATCATTTTTTGTAGTTGCAATGTGCTGCGTGTTTCGGCAGTGTCTTCGCAGGAGCAGGAACAGGAGCAGGAGGGCGAGAAGGAGGCCGTTGCCCGGTGGCCGGGCGGTCTCGGCCGGGCACTTGGCAGCGGCGCATCCTGGGTGGCCGGTGCTGTGCATTGGGGGTCGCGCCGCCGCCGCCTCGCTGCAGGAGCAAGTTTTGCGACGACCCCCCCGAGGGGAAATGTCTCGCAAGACGAAGCGTGGCCGCCGAGCGGCCGCGACCGCGGGGGCCCGGCCACCACCTGAACTGCATGGTCCCCGACCGTGCCTTCGAGCGTAAACATGCCAGCGAAGACGAGGAAACCGCAGGAACAGGGCTTGAGGGGTAGGGGGACGGCCCGATCGGGCATTCTCGCCCTGCTCCCGCCGCAGTAGCAGGAAAGGGGGGGGGCGAGGAGGAGGAGGAGGAGGAGGAGGAGGAGCATGAGGACCAGTGTAAACACAAGACCCATCAAAGATGTTGCAATGGGCCCTCCCCGAGTTTTCCCCTCAGAGGCTGCAGGGGCTCCTGCAAGGATTTTCCACACTGCGGGTAAAGTCCCGTTGGAAGGTGACCGTTTGAAAATCTCCATTAGTGGTGCGCCTCGAATCAACGTTAGTGATGCGACGTGGCGATTCCAAATCGTGCCAGGGCACGATATCAGGGGCGTCAACACCGCGAATGAACGCGAGTGTCGCGCCCTGACCATCCTAAGTCGTGCCCAAACACTGTTTCTGGGACGTCAACCATAATAACAATTGAAACCGGAGTGAATTGTGATCACGGATGAGTGCGGCGCACAGGCGAGAGCCACATTTAAAAAACATCGCCTTCCATCCGTGAAGCTCTTGCATGTTTTGAAACGAGTGTGCGCGGCGCTAAAACGGGAATCACATTTTGAAAACGAGCCACCCTCCATCCAAACAAATGTTGCAAAATTCAAGCTTCAGGACCGCGCAATTTGAGGACAACTCATACCAAACGCCCAGTCCGCCCTACTGACCCGTCTCGGGGTGCGTCAGGGAGGAGTTCTAGCCAAGGCCTTACTGCTGGTGCTGCCGACCCTGGAAGATCGGGCCGGACGATGCGGGGGGATTTGGGAAGGGGGGTAACGAAATTTGCTGCATGCAGCTGGTTTCGGCCCCGCCGAGGGGTCCATTCCTCGATACATGGCCGCCTCAAGCGCAGGGAGGCGCCGGGAAAATCAGCTACGTGAGCTGATTTCCAACCCCCCCCCTTTGCTATCCCCCCCTTTCGCCCGACCCGAGAAGACGACCCCCGCGATGGAAGATGTATTCGGAATGGTCGGGATCAGACGTTCCCAGGAGTGCCCAAGAGGCTACAAAATGCTCCCAAGAGGTGCCCCACTGAATTTTTGCGGTATGTGTAGGGGGAGCCTTTTGGGGACATCTTTTGGCTTCCTGGTGGTTCCCGAGGGGCTTCGGGGGGGCGTCTGGACGGCCTTCGGGAAGCCACTTGGTCCTCGAGACCCTTCCGGGGAAATGATATTCTGACCCTGGACCCCCAGTGACCATGACCATCCCCCCCCCCCCCAGGATCCGCGCGCACCCCCCCCGGGGACCTCCCCCGGGATCGCTCCCCTCCCAGCGGGGAAGGGATCAAAGGGAAGGGGCTTCCCTTCGACTCACCTACGACGGTTGTTCAATCTCGCTTCGGCTGTTTCGCTTTGGTTGTCGCGCTTAAGGAGGAATGCCCAAGGAAATGTGGGGAGTTGCGACGACGACGATGACGACGACGACAACGACGACGGCGCCCTGACTATCTTAAATCGTTTCAGATCGCAGCTCTGAGACCCAACACCTCGAGCCAACGCTACTATTGCGACCTGACAATCTTAAATCGTGCCCGAACACCATGCTTGGGACGTCAGCCATAGAAATGTGAATGGCATTGATGCGCAGTGTTAAAACACATGTACGCGAATGTGCGGCGAGAGCCACACAATGAAAAGGAGCCGCATCCGCGACAATCTTGCAAACTTTGAAGGTGCATGGATGCAGCGCTGAAGCGACAACCACATTTTGAGAAGGAGCCGCCTCCATCCGTGAAGCTCTTGGCGCTGAGGCGAAAACCACATTTTAAAAGGAACCGCCCTCCATCCGTGAACGTGTTGACCGTGGAGTGCGAGGAAGGCTCACGCGAAACGCACGGCCCTCCCTGCCGACCCGCCTCGGGGTGCGACAGGGAGGAGTTATTGCTAAGGCGTCCCAGCGGGTTCAGCCCAGGAAAATGACGTTCCCAAGAGCGCCCTAGAGCCCTAGAGACTACGAGAGGCCCCAAAGAGGTGCCCAAGAGCGCCTACGAAGTTTTCGGGGTGTTTGGGGAGGGCCTCTTTGGGCTTCTGGGCGGTTCCTTGGGGGCCTCGGTGGGGCCTCGGGGGGCCTCGGAGGGCCTTTTGGGCCCCTGGCCGCCCCGCCCCAACCCCCCGGGGTTCCCCGCCCTACCTTCCCCTGGACCCCCCGCGGGACCTCCCCTGGGACCCCGCCCCCCCAGCGGGGACGGGACCTAACGGAAGGGGGCTTCCCTTCGATCCGATTTCGACGTTGTAATTTTGCTTAGGCTGTTTCGCTTCAGCTGGCGCGCTTGAGGAAGAGGGCCCAGGGAAAAGGGGTGAGTTGCGACGGCGACGACGACGACGACGACGACAACGAAGACGACGATGACAACGACTCAGACGAAACAGCTTCTTGCATATGCTGGCAGGGTCGGCGGACTTCTTATAAGAAGGGAATAGCAGGAGGAAGAGGAGGCGGAGGAGGAGGAGGAGGAGGCGGGAGAGGAGGAGGAGGAGGAGGAGGAGAAGGAGGAGGAGGAGGAGGAGGAGGAGGAGGAGGAGGAGGAGGAGTCCCTCCTCGGCCGTGGCGCCGCCCGAGGACGCCGCCGCCGCGGCGTGGCAGCGAGAGCTGTTCCACAGGGTCTTCCAGAAAGACGCCAGCAAGTACGTCGCTGGAGCTGCCTGGGCCGTGCTGCGGGAGCTCCTGTCTCGCGGCGCGGCGCTGCAGTACCGCGGCCGCAGGGTCTGCGACGCGGGGCTGGCGCACGGCTTCTACTTCGCCAGCCCGGCGCCAGAGGGCCCCGACGCGCCTGAAGGGGGCGACGGCGGCGAGTTCGACTCGGTGGATGCCTCAGCACGGGCGGACGCGCTGGTGATCTGCGCGGCGGCGGACAAGCGCGTGGTCCTGCAGCGGTCCTTCATGTCGCTCGGCGTCGTGCACAAGTGGCTGCTGCTGGCGGTGGAGGCCCAGGACGCGGGCGCGGCGCGGCCAGGGCCGCCCGAGGAGGTCGCCGCCGACCTCTGCTGCGGGGCGCTGGGGCTCCTGCCGGAGGCCTCCCCGGACTGCGCCCGGCTCGCCAGGCTCTGGAGCCCCTCCGCGGACCCGCGCTTCGTCGCCCGCTGCGCCCGCTGGGGCGCGGCGGCCGCGCCGCTCGCGCGGCCCGCGGCGCCCGCCCGGGGCGCGCCGCTGCTGCCCGCCGCGGCGGGGGCGCTGCTGCGCCACGCCGGGCTGCCCCTCGCCGAGGACCGGCGTCCTAACGTATGCTGATACTACGTGTGCGTCGCCTCCCCAGGGGCGACGCGCGCACCAAGAAGTCTCATAGTATACGTCCCGAGGCGGGCGCTGTTTGGCCACACCGCTCGGGAAACGGTACACACATACATACATACATACATACATACATACATACATACACACACACACACATACATACATACATACATACATACATACATACATACATACATACATACATACATACATACATACATACATACATACACACATACATACACACATACATACATACATACATACATACATACATCCATCCATACATACATACATGCATACATGCATACATACATACATACATACATACATACATACATAAATACATACATGCATGCATGCATACATACATACATACATCTATATACATATACATACATATATGTACAAGACTGCATTGGCGCTGCGCGCCATGCACCTTGGTCCTTTGGAATTTGCGCGCTAGCGGAGTGCGAGCGTGCGTACATGCGCACACACATGCGTCTATGAATGCATCGTACATATGTACACATATATACACGTTTGTTTGGACATGTATATGTATATGCAAATGATCAGTGTAACTATGTGTGCGCATACACATGCGTATATCAGGCGGTAGTGGCTTGACCAGTTGCTCATATCATCGCGCCACTAAAAGGCGCGAGGGTCTCAGGCAAACGTGGTCAGACTACCATGGGACAGTGCGTCGCCGAGGTCGGTGTTACGAGGACGTCCCGGGTGAAAATGGCCTGAACACCTCCGCTCAGGGGAGGGCATATCCGAAGTCAGCCGTGCGAGGAAGTTTCAAGCGAGGAGTGGTCTGAACACCTCTGCTCAGGGCATCCTTGAACTTAGAGTTGCGAGAAGTCGCACGCGAAAGTGGCCGAACCACCATGGTGCAAGGCACCTCCGAAGTGAGACTTGCGAGAGTGTCTCAGGCGACAGTGGCTGGAACACCTCAACTGAGAGTGTCTCGGGCCCCAGAGCTGCGATGATGTCTCAAGCGAAAACGGCGGGACCGATGCGAAGCAAGGCGCTTCTGAGGTCGAAGTTGCGAGCATATCTCTGGCGAAGCGGATTAGACTACTTTCCGTTATCTCCTCTTCCTCATTCCCCTTTCCCTTTCCTTTCCTCCTCTTCCTCCTCCCCCTCCTCCTCCTCCTCCTGCTCCTCCTCCTCTTCCTCTCCCCCCTCTCCGCTTCTTTTTGTGTCCATTCTCCCCATCCCTGGCGGCGCGGCGCGGTGCCGCTCGGCCTCTCTGCGAGTCAAGCGGCAAAGGGTGAGATACCCCCCCCCCCCAATTAGGAACGGTTTTTCCCAAGCCGCCAAGGGGGCCCGAAAGTAGTGCAAGAGGCTGTGCAGGTTTTGAAATTCCCCAGCGGCTCCTCGGATTCGGCCGGCCCTCTCCGGTAAGGTAGGCAAGGGCGCCGCGTCCAGGTGCTCAATCCCCCGTATCCCCCTCCCCTCGTCTTCGTTCCCTCCTCCATGTCCCCCTCCTCCTCGTCCTCGCCCCCCTTTTCCCCCTCATCCTCCTCCTCCCTCCCCCCTCCTTCTCCCCCCTCGATGCCCCCGCGTGGTTTTCGGGCCATGACTCGGGCCTCTGGGGGCCGTTCGCGACGTTTCCGGCGCCCCCAAAACGCTTCCGGCGAGTGGCAGATACTGAAGGCAATCCCCAGGCCGGAAAACCCCCCAGAACAAACAATCCGAAAACCTTGATCCTCCATTCTCGGTTCCTCTCTCGGTTCCTCTCTCTCGGAGGAGGAGGGAGGAGGGGTGAAGGACGAGGGGAGAGACAATGGAGATTAGTACGGCGACGACGACGACGACGACGACGAAGAAGGCGACGACAAAGAGAAGGGATAATGAGAGGGGGAGACCGCTGTGTTGGGATCTCGTGGTGCGCCTCTCGGGGCCATCTGGGAGGCAGTTTTGAAGCCTTTTGGGGGTGTTTTGGGGTTCTTGGGATCTTTGTGGGGCCTCTTGGGGGCTCCTTGGGGCCTCTTGGGAGCCTCTTGGGGCCTCATGGGGCTCACGCCGGGCCTCTTGGGGCCTTCTCGCGGCGGAAATTTTAGTTTTTGAATTTTTGGGCGCAGTCTTGGGTCTCTCTTGGGGCCGTATTGGTGCTCTCTTGGGCCGTCTTGGGTGCCTCTTGGGCAGTCTCGGAGCCCTCCTGGACCGTGTTGGGGCCTTTTTGGGGGCCTCTTGGGCAGTACTGGGGCGATCTAGGAAGCCTCTTGGGCCATTGTGGAACGTCGGGAAGCGGGAAAAACGAAAAAACCAAAAACATCGAAAAACACAAGAAAATAAACAATTGTAGCCTCTCGGGGCTCTCTTGGGAGGCCTCTTGGGGGTCTGGGGGCGTCTTGGACGCGTCTTGGGTAGTCTTGGGCCCAGATTGGGTGTCTTGGGCCGATCTTTGGGTGTCTCGGGGCCCTCTTTGGCCGTCGTGGGGGTTTTTTACTTCGCGTCGCACTCGCAGGACAGACGCGGAGCACTCTGCAGGAGCGCCCCAAAGGCTCGGGGAGGCCGAAATTCGTTTGGGGGGGGGCACCGTGTGCCGCTTTTCTGGGGTCCCCGGCCCTGTAAAAATATATAATTAGGAATATACACTACAAGATGGGCCTACTAGATGTTCGAGTCGGACGCGCGCCTCCGAGGAGAACGTACAGTACTTGTTTGTCTCTGTGCGCCCCAGAGGAGGCTGTGCTCGCGCACGCGGAGGGCGGCCCGGGGCAGGGCGCGGACGGCGAGGCCGCGTCGGGCGAGGCCGCGGCGGACGCCGCGGGCAGGGCCGAGGCCGCGCTGCGGCTCCGCGCCGCGGCCGAGCGCCTCGGCCTGGCGGCCCCGCCCGGCGCCTCGGGCGGCGCGCCGCCCGACGACGCTGCGCTGGAGGCCGCGCTGCGCGCGGCCTCCGACGGCCTGGCGCGCCGGCGGCTGCAGGTCGGGCGAAGAGAACTATGCACATGCACCGATCCTGACGACGCCCATCCTTGACCCAGGATCGGTGCATATATCTTCCTGGCCAAGGTAAGAGGGCGTATGCACGGATCCTGGGCTCAGGGTTGGGCCTGGCCAGAATCGGTGTATGTGCATAGTTCTCTTTCCTCTAGCAGGGGGCGGGCTTCGGCAAGCTCGCAGACGCCGTGGGCGGCTGCGCGGCCTGAGAAACTGAGCTGCCTTCGCTCCCTCGGGGGCAAAAAATACCCCCTGACCCGGATGATGCGATGAAGACGTGGTCTCGCCGAGGTCCTCTTTTGCGCCTTGGGGCTGATGAGTATGGGCGGCGTGGTTCAATACATCTGCAGAAGAGATCCCCTACCCCTAATTTATGTTCCTGGCCCTCCTAAATTAGGTCGCTTCCCAAAGGGTTAGGGGTCCTTGTATGCCTAATCATCGACACGCCCGCTTTGAAACGCAAAACGTGCCGTGCTGAAGACGTCCGTGCTGCCCTCGCGTTGGTTAGCGTATCGCGTCATTACTTGATTTCGTTTTCAGTCGACGTTTTGAAGTCCGTATCGATACGCTATGTGTTGCGTGTTGCGTATCGGGGCAGCTAAGCAGACAAAAGTTCCCCGCCGCGCCAGTCGTCGTCGTCGTCGTCGCCGTCATCGTCGTCGTCTTCGTCGTCGTCGTCGTCGTCGTCGTCGTCGTCGTGGTCGTCGTCGTCGTCATCGTGGTGGTGGTCGTCGTCGTCGTCGTGGTCGTCGTCGTCATCGTGGTGGTGGTGGTGGTCGTCGTCGTCGTCGTCGTGTCCCTCATGCTTCTCCTCCAGTCTCTGCCGCATGGAGCCCATGCAGGCGTTGTTTGCTGGTGTGCCCAATGATAAGGTCCGCGAGGGGGCAGCAGCACCTTGTGCAGTGCTTTCGGCCGACGCCTGCAGTCCCTAGTTTTTGCCGTCGCCTCCTCCCCGTCATCCGTCGTCGTGCTCGTGGTGGTGGTGGTGGTGGTGGTGGCACCGGTGGTGGTCGTAATCCCCCTCCTCCTGCTCCTCCGTCTCCGTTGTCGACCCATTCCTTCTCTTCCTCTCGCGTTTTTCCCTCCTCCACCTTCTCCCGCCGCCTGCTCTTCGCAGGGCGGTGCAGGGCAGGGAGGGTCCGGGGAGGAGGCCAGGGCGCCTGGGGGCAGGGGCCGAGGAAATGGCGCGGCCGAGGCAGCACATGGCCGGGGCAGTTCCCCCCGGGCGCTCCGCACGAAGGGGGAAATCCGCGGCGCGACTCCGAGGGAGACCTGCGGGTGAGGGCGTCAGCAGCGGCCGCAGCGGCAGCAGCTGCTGCAGGACACCGAGCCGCGGGCCGAGCTGGCAGGCTCTGGGCGGCAGCAGCGGCCACAGCGGCAAGCGCAGCAGCTAGAGGACACCGATACGGGGTCACAGAGTATACACCACCACCACCACCACCACCTCTCCAAACCCATCCCTCTACCAGGGAAGTGGAAAGGGGAGAAGGAGGGGTAGGAGAGGGAGGGGGAATGAGGGTGGTGGTGTGGTGCATATCCTTGGGACCCGCAGCCGAGCCGCGGCCGAGCCGGACAGGGCAGCAGAGCACCGCCGAGCAGCGCGCCAGGGCGCCTCGGCGCGGCCCGGTGCCCCTCCGCACCGCCGCGGGCCGAAGGCCGGCGCCCGCCCGCCGCTGCTCCGCGGAGTGCGGCGGGGCCGTGCCGGCGCCGCGCCGCGGCGGGCCGTGCGGAGGGCCGCGGGGGGCGGCGGGGGGCGTGCGGGGGACAGCGGAGGCGCCGCGGACCCCGCGCCCGAGCTGTGTGTGTGTGTGTGTGTGTGCGGGGGGGGCGACGATAGCATCTCGGCCGCGCTCGGAGGGGGTAAAGGCTTCCTGGAAGCACCCCGGCTTCTAAAGAAGGCGCCCCTGCCTTGTCTGCAGATGCAAGGCCAGCGCCTTCTAAGAAGCACCCCTCCTTGTGAGAAGCCTCCCTGCGCCCCCCTTTTCCACCCCATCTCTGGTTAATTCAAGCTTCGCGCGGCCCGCTCAGCTTCGACCGGAAGAGGTGCGCTCTCGACCCGCGAGTCAAAAAAGTGAGAAGCCTCCCCCCCGTTCCCCGATTCCCCCCCTCTGCGCGCCGCCGAGCAGCTGTCGCACGTCCTCGCGTTTCCTCGCTGCCCGCGGCTGCCGCCGTGCAGGACCGCCCCTCGGCTCTGCACGCCAGGCGGAGGCACGCCCAGGCGCGACCCGGCCCGGCGCCTCGCGGCCGTGCCCCCGCCCCGCCGCGGCGGGAGGGGCAGCAAGCGCGCGGCGAGTTCACGGGGGGCGTCGTTGGCCCCGCGCCGCGGGCGTGGTGGCGCTGCGGGCGTCCTGGCGGCGCTGCGGGCGTCCTGGCCCGCGGGGCGGGCGCAGGCCGCCACCGAGTTCGCCCCGGCGGGCCCGGACCCTGGCGCGAGCGCGGCGATCCTGGACCTCGCGTCGTGGAGAAGTCTCACGACGTGAGGTTCTTCGTCATTTTCGGCCTCCGGGGGGGCCCTTCCCGGGCCTCGAGAGACCGCCAAGAAGCGGCGCGGGACGACGAGCCGGTCCCAGGGAAGGGGCCTAGACCTCCTGGGGGCCGGCGTTGCACAAAAATCCCGACGTCGGGGGACCGTCGGGGGACCGTCGGGGGTCTAGGATTTCGGGGGCCCCCAAACGGGGTGGTGACCACACCGTGCGGTGAGTCGGCGGGGGCTCGGGGTCACCGCACGGTGTTGGGTCTCGAGGCCCTCTCCGAGGACGCCTCGGGGGACGGGGGCCTCCGAGGCCCCAAAACCGTGCGGGGACGGACCGTGCGGTGAGGTCTTGGGGGATTTCGAGGTCACCGCACGGTCTGTCACCGCACCGCACGCCGTCGGCGGCGGCCAAGGTGCACGCCGAGAGGCGCGGCGCCCGTCGGGGGCGGGCGCTCCCTGGGCGGGGTCCGTGGCGGGCGCCTCCTCGGCTTCTCGGGGCCTCCGCGGGCGAGGCGTTGCCCTCGGGGTCGGGGGGGGGGGCGGAGCCGCGCGCGGCCCGCGGGCCCCGAGGCGAGAGCTCGCCCACTGCCAAGAGATGCCACGCGTACCCCCCTCCACCCCTTGCTCCCTGCTCCCCCCCCGAGTCTCTCCCTCCCTCCCTCCCTGCCTCCCCTCCCTCCCTCCCTCCTCTCTGTTCTCTGCCTCCTCCCGCCCTGCCCAGAGAGTCCCGAATGGCCTTGCAGGCCCCGTTGGAGGTCCCAGGAGGCCTTTGTTGGCCCCCTCGGGAGGTCCAGAGAATGGGCGTGAGTCCAACGGCCTCGATCCTCGATTCTCAAACCTCGAACTTCGAGCCTCGATCCTCCCTCATCCTTGCCGCGCGCGGGAGGGATGAGGAGGGATTGCCCTGGAGGCCTCAGGGCGAAGGGAGAGAATGTGGGAGGGATGGGTGGATGGATGGAGGGAAGGAGGAGGCGGAGGAGGAGGAGGAGGAGGAGGAGGAGGAGGAGGAGGTGGCGGAGCAGGAACAGGAGGAGGAGGGATCTCTCTCCTCGCTCCTCCGCCCCGTCGCGCGCCCCAGGCGCTCGCGGAGATGGACGCTGCCCGCAGCGAGGTGGCTGGGTTCGAGCCCAGGCGCAAGGCGGCGGAGGACGCGAGGAATTCGAAGAGGCGGCGGCTCGGCGCTGCTATTTCGATGGGGGAGGAGGAGGAGGAAGAGGAGGAGGAAGAGGAGGAGGAGGAGGAGGAGGAGGAAGAGGAAGAGGAAGAGGAAGATGAAGAGGAGGAGGAGGAGGAGGAAGAGGAAGAGGAAGAGGAAGATGGAGAGGAGTGGAGGAGGAGGGGAGGAGGAGGATGAGGAGGAGGAGGAGGAGGAGGAGAGGAGGAGGAGGAGGGGAGGATAGGAAGGAGGGGGAAGGGAGGGAGGGAGGGCAGGCAGGGCAGGGAGGGGAGGGGAGGAGAGGGGAGGGGAGGGGGAGGGGAGGGGAGGGGAGGGGACGGGGGGGAGGGGAGGGGAGGGGGAGGGGAGGGGAGGGGAGGGACGGGACGGGACGGGACGGGACGGGGACGGGGGGACGGACGGGACGAGGAGGGGACGGGAGGGGAGGGGAGGGGAGGGGAGGGGAGGGGAGGGGAGGGGAGGGGAGGCGAGGGGAGGGGAGGGGAGGGGAGGGACGAAGGGAGTGAGGGAAGGAGGAAGGAAGGAAGCGTTTTCCTTTTTCGAGCTGCTGGAGGCCTCCGAGGTCTCTGGGAGCCTCCCGATCCAGGGCCTTCCAGGGACCTCTGAGGCCTCCGGGACCTGAGAACGGTGGGTGGACGACCAACAAGAGCATCAGGAGGAGGACCATAACAAACCCCATGTGCGTCAGCGAGGCCGTAATACATACACCCTCCCGTCCCAAACAAGTATTTTCAATTCGGAAGCCGACCTTCAAAGATGAGAGGCCCATGTGTATGGCGGTCAGGCGACAGCTCTGTTCTGAGAAGGAACTTCTGCCCTCCATCCGTCGCGCGACTCTGCAGTTCTAGTGTGCTTGTCGAAGATGTTTCAGGCGAGAGCACCGTTTTGAAAAGGAACCGCCCTCCGTCCGTGTACTTGTTGCACAGTTGTTGAGCATCTGATGTTTAAGCGTGGTGAGGTCTCCTGCGGAAGCCCCATTCTGAAACGGAGCCGTCCTTCATCCTTGTGCCTGTTGTAAACTGTTGAGGACGAACATGTGCGAGACTTGAGTGAGAGCCGCATGTCGAAATGGAGCCACCCTCCATCCGAGTGGTAATGCTTAAGACGAGTGTTTGCTGCGCCAAGGTGAGAGCCAGACTTTGGAAGCCAGCCGCCATCCATCCACCGAGCTGTTGGAAGCCTTTAAGACGAGTGCACGCGTCGCTCAGGCGAACACGACATTCTGGGTACCAAGCCGCCTTGCACACATCATGAGGTTGGAAACTTTTAGGACGAATGTTCGCGACGCTATGGTGCGAGCCTCACTTTGAAAACCAACCGCCCTCCCTCCGCGCAACTTCGGAAATTTCAAGCTTCGGGGACGTAATGGTGAGGAGTATCAGGCGAAACGCCCGGTCGGGCCCGCCCTATCGACACGTCTCGCGGTGCGACGAGGAGGAGTTGCTCCTAAGCGAGAGGGATGGAGGAGGAAGAGGGGGGAGGAGGAAGGAGCGCAGGATGAGGTCAGGAGGTTCTTGGACGCGTTGGGATGCCTTTTTCTTTTTCCCTCGGGCCTCAAG